ATTATTATTATTAATCTTTTAATTATCTCGATCGGCATTGTGAACAGTTCATTTTAGCTAATTATTTACCCTGGTACACCAGCGACCTTTTCGGGATTAAATGGACGAACGTATAATTGCAATGCCATCGGGTGGCTCGGAGCGCTCACGTAGAAAAAAGCAGGTGAATATGGATAGTAATTTCGCTTAATATCGATTAACGTGGAATTCGAAGCGATTGTACTATATCGGGACGCTTTGTCTTTGACCATCCTGAGTGTGTACTTACTGCCCGTGTACACTGTACACGTATGCGATTAAATCCGTGCCTATGAATTGATAGATACCAGCGTTAATTGCGGACACGATCTCACGCGTGCGGGGGCCGCGTTAACGTGTCGATTAACCATTCATGATTCTACCTACGTCCAAAACGATTAAAGAGTTGTCGTACATCGACGAAAAACGAAGACCGAGAAGATGCTCGATTAGCGTGAGAGATCGAACCGTGAGATGAACGAGCAAAGGGTGGGCGGAAAGTTGGAACAATCTAAGTGAGCAGGGCCAAGAAGTTTGAACAGGCTTGAGGGCGAATTTAACTCGATGTGACACGGATGAATTGAATTCAGCGCTCTGAAACGGCTACCGAGCAACAGGTTTCCCTGCTTCCTTTTCAATCCCGTCAATTGCTTTCCATCACTACGACGTACGCCTTATTCGTTGCATTTTTGCCTCGTATAATCGCTCGTCGCGTGCCACGAATGACGCTCTCGACTGTGTTTATTCGGAGCAAAAACGCAACGAGTTCGATGTACACTCGTCTCCTCTCTTATTCCGTTCGAATAATCGTACACTCGACTACTGGAATACCGAGTGTAAACTGTAGACGGAAGCCGCGAAGGGAATTCGCCATCGTTTTTCAACTGTACATAATTTCTCAAGAATTTGAAAGTCACATTTTACTAGGGTTGAACCCTTCGAGGGGTGAGCCGCTTTACTCTGGATAGAAGAGCATCGTTGAAATTCCGTTTAGCGACCTCTCCTCCTCTTTGTTGGTCAAAGACGGACGATTATTAACATCGTTTAAGGAACGGCAGGAAAATCGAGACTACGCTCGGCATAATAATGCGTTGCGTTGGGAAAAAAGGCGAGAAGACAAAATGTGTCTACTCGTTCCAGGCCGCGTGACAGCCAATACGAATCGTCGACCCGGTTCTCTCCCCGAAATTGTTTCAAAGGCACTCACGGAAAACGGTTCTCGTTTATAAGGGAAAAACATTGTGAACGATACTCGCGTATATAATCGCAATTCGCTAATTAACATCGGTACTTTCGGAAATTAATACGCCGGAGCGGGGAAAGGCTGCGGACGGTTTCGGCCGCAGGACAATTTAAAACCGTAATTCGCTCATCGATCGCGAATGATATCGCGTCATCGCCGCTATCGCAGTGATAACGGAACCGAAAAATGAGATGCGGGACCAAACAGAGTCCCACGAATCTAAAGGCACATCCACTCGTAGGATTTACTACGTGTAACCAAATATTGTTACATAATTTCCTATGTAATTCATGTACGATGAAATTCATCGCAACGATGCCGCTGAACGAAGTCGACACGCGCCTCAGCATGCGAGACATAGAAAGGTGAAACACGTAAGAAGCAGTTGGACGTTAAGAAAACGGAGATCGACCGGTGGGATTCTCTGGGAATCGAAACCAGTTCAAGACGAGCGCGACCGTCTTCCCCGTGTATAAAATCGGGGCCAGCGCACGAGGTGAGAGGGTAGCGAGTAACGAGCCGCGTTTGTCATCGGTCGAGTGTCGCTAACGTATCCTCCACGGCTCGTTACAAACGACGCTTCTTCGTTTATGCTTTACACAGTTCTAATTTATACGGTCTGGCTCTGCTTGCAATTATCGAGCCACGGTGCTATGAACACGTGCCGGGCGCGCGATAGGTATCATGCTCGATGCGGAAATTAAAATTAAAGGCTCGCGGGCAGAAGCGTACAAATAGCTGTTACTTACGTCTACCTCGTTTAAAAGTCTCTCCTTGTCGGGAGCCGGCAGGGCCGTCGACCAGTTGACCAACGCCATCAGGACCACGGCAAGGAACACGGCAACTCGCAGCGACGACATAGCGCAGTCCTGTCGAGCAATGGAAAGCCTGTTAATCCCGCTAATTGAGGCTAAACATCGTCGCTCAAAGCGTTAAACCGAAATCAAACTCGTTAACGGGCATCGATTCAAACAGACCGTTTAGTATCTGTTATGTTTATTACCGTTTCTAAGATCGAAGATTATTATTCTAAGTGCTTATAATTTGTCGGAGAGTTTGAATTCGACGATCATAGAAAATCGCGATTACTCCTAATAAACATCATTTGGAAAACATAAAAAGTTGGACTTGTTCAAACCAGTAAATAATTATTTATTCCAAATGGTAGTTCTTATTGACTCGACCTGTATATACGTATAGACAGCCTGCGTATCTCTTGATAAGAAGCACTAAAAGTGACTTGACGACGGCTTCGTGTGTTGATTGCGTTCCAGAAAATCGAACGATTGCATCTCCCAGTGATGGGCTCATCGTGGGACTTTTTGGCACTGGCATTTAACAACAAGAGCCGTGCTAATCATGTCACAGCTAGGAATTATTTAATTGTCTCTCAAGTTTCATTAAGATATCTATCTTACTTTATATAGGATCTATTTCGAGGCATTCTTGAAGCACTGCGTGCCAAGTCTTCAGAAGATTCGAAATAAATTATGTTTATATGCACTCGTTTATTTATTTAATTAATCGAGTTTGGAGTGCGACGTTCCGGGCGGGAAATTCTTTAGCTGAGATTTTCGAATTATATATGCTAAATGCAAATACAAATTTCATCCCTGCTGCAATATTGCAAACGATTGCGGTTCGTCAACGCTTATTCAACCGCAAATTCTCGCGAAACTCCTGTTTTATTATTTAAACAGAAAATCAATCCTTTTTATATCAAATAAAAACGCAATTCGCTAAACGTTCCATCGTGCCGCAAATGTCAATTGTGCGAACAAAATTTAACGAGACCGAATGAACAGTTAATTCGAATGGGATTTAATAACGAATACAAGCCTGTTCTCTTCTCGTGGATCCAACAATTCGAGGGGTAAAATTGTCAATATTATTTTAAACAGTTCGATCGATTTTATTCGCTTAGGCCTGACAATTTCGCCTTTTTCATCGACAGGCAGTTTAGATTTTGCTGAACGAAAGCCAACGTCCACTCTATCTGCCGTTGACAGAACGATAACTCATCCGAGGGAACACACGTCTACCGATGCCGGCGGTGAAAGTATTGTGACACGCGCCATTGTGCTATCAGTTATGTTGAAACAAGAGTAAAAATATTGCTGGACATCTCGTCGATTCACGGACATCTGCGCCTTTTCACGATTTTTTTTCTCGCCACGAACGTCGCGTCGACTTTCCACAAAATAAAATTACGTACGTACGACTGATCTGCGTACGACGAAACAACGTAAACGGTCGAACAATTCTTATTTAAATTTATATATTTATACTTTTATTTGCATGAAATTAGTACAGATCTTTGTAATATTGAAAGATAAATTAATTGGATACAACGCGAATTCCAACATCTTTGCATGTTGACTTACGCGGCTTTCGTAATAACCGTAACAATCGTGTTTGCGTGATTTATAGCGGAAAACGATGTTACGGTGGAAGAGAGGAACGAAATACGAGAACGAATGGGTAATTACGCGTTCGCTGCAGGGCGTTGAGAAAAAGATTAAATTTTCGAGGGAAAACCGTTTGTTTTATAGGAACGAGCCGGCACAATGACGAGTAATTGCGCTGGCTTGCTTACCCCGGCAACAGGTCCGCTCCTTAATGCCCGAGTTAAACAGATGCTTCCAACTATCATCGACTTTCCCGTTTTATACCTAATTCTATACTGAACGTGCCTTTAACCCATTTCCCTTTGTTATTTCCCTAATTACGTTCCGAGATAAACGTCTCCGTTGCTGGGAAACGCGTTTACTTTTTCCTTTTACGAGAGGACTCGTACTCTTTTTCATACCGATGATAATTTCTAAAAGAGATTCCGCGTTTAATATTCTCTTATACGTTCGTACAAAGCCCGCTGTCGCGCGACAGTAATACCGTTGTTTAACAGTCAAGAAGAATATGAAAGGCACGTCGGCTACGTGCAATCTCTTGTACGAATCGTTACACGAAAAAAGCTCGCGATACCTTCCATTGAGATGTCACGAGCATTGCACCGATCGCAGATGAACGTAATTGGCATTGTTTCAGAACAAAACACCGTCGGTTCTTACAGAACGCGCGTTAATTGCGAATTTATCGTAGACTTGTGTTAATAATCAAAACGAAGTAAATTAAAACTGTATAAAATGCAGCAGTGGAATGAACGAAAACGCAACAGTAACGAGAAACTGTTTTTTGAAGACACGATTGATTATTAAAACGAACGGTCAGACATTCCTCGAACTACGCGACGAGAGAAGCACAGGGAAAATACGAATGATGAAATTGTGTACCTCGTACGAAAGGAGCTTTCGTCGGATCAGCAGAAGACGAACGAGAAGCAGAAGGGGTCGTTGGCTGTTTTCGGGTCGCTTCGAGCAGCTACGAGCGAGGATCGGCGGTTCGGTGGCACAGTGACTGAGCTTGCGAGCACGCGACCACTTTATATCCGAGACAGCCACAGCTACCGGGGTCGGCGGGTGCTGTTGGTGGTGGAAACAGCTGCCGTTGGGGTGGAGAACTTACCCCCTTTCCACGATCACGCGTATCCCCGATTCCCCGACTTTCCGACGATTCGCTACGCGTCGCCTCCCTCGTGTCTCTCCGATATACTTAACTTTTCAACAATTTGTGAATTAACACGAATAACACCTCGGTCCACGCGAGACGTCATTTTGGTTTTTCGTACCTTCGTTTTCCAGTAAAAAATCGTTTATCATACTCCTACCCACTGAGAAATCGAATTATTAGAAATTAATAAAATCTACTGTTATGAACCAAATTAAATATGGAATAATAATGGATTGGAATTTAATTTTGTTAGCGATTATGTAAAATGAATTCACCGAAATGATAATTGAAACATTGTGCGATAAAGCAAAAATTGTGTGACCATCGATTCACAGAAAGGCAAAGTACTTTTTTACAAGAGGGGTGTTTTTATCGGGAGCATGAACGATAACGTTTAAGTTTAACACCGGGACATATTTATTAAAGCACGAACTCGCTCGGCCACGTATAATAATTACCGAACGAAGACAGTTTGTGAATGCATGCACATTGCACGAGATAGAAGCCGAGCTCTCGGATCAGAGACAAAGGTATTCAAACGGGTCGGAATCCTCTAATTGTTTCCGCTGATGGACCGTGCATGTACACACGTATGCGAACATTTTACATATCCGCAAAGAACTCGAAGCTCTTTCCACGTGGGTGCGTCACCAGATTCCTTGAAACACTCGATTCGAAAGCAAGGAGAATTATCCTTTTTCGTTGATAAATCCAACTTCCCTGCCGTCTTTCTGGGATAATTTATAGACAATTAAATTGCTTGCCGTAAAAGATAGATACGAACTTTAACGTAAAACGGTGGGTTCGTTTCCGATAGAGTGAAAATAATCATTTTCACGGCGATGAGAGAAAGGGAGGATAATATTTTCGAACGATCTACTGTCCTGAATAGAAACGCGGGACAATGTTGGTGGCTGGGGTAGAAATTCGTGGTGACGCGAGCCAGGAATGTCTCATCCCCTGAAATATGCCAAACGGCATGTCCTCTGTCGACGTACCACGGGCTCGTCATAGGATCCTCGTTCCATCTACATCACGTTCACGTTCTAATCGTTTAAACATCCCCAGCCGATTGACTGGGATGGACAACATACGTTTCGACGATGAATCACTTTCTGAGGAAAGAATGAAGTTTTATTCTCGTTCACCCCATTTCAGTCGAAAATACACCCTCGCAGCATAGATATGATAGAAGGGAACCGTGGCTCTACAGGTCGAAGAAAATTTCATGAAGTACAGCTTTTCGATCGAGCGGAAAAAATTGATTTCGCTCGGTACGCCCGTTATCGGACGATAAAGGGGCATCGATAGGTAAACGCACGGAAATGGGCCATCAACCGCGTTGCTTTGGGAAACGTAATCTCGCCGATGACGACGATAAAACGAGATAATACGGAGTCGTGCGTCACCATTCGCTCGGCTCGGATCTCGCGCTATCCCAGAGGAATTATCCAACACCTGTCCCAAGTTCCATCTTTTTATTCGACGATCCCCACGTAGCCCACCAGTGGTAATTGTTAAGACAAACCGGTCTCATAGTTTAATATTCAAATCCCGTTTACAACCCCGGAGTTACATTTTCCAAAGCGAATTCTCTTCCATTTAAATATCATTTACGTACGTCGAAAATTGTATTTTTTAAACAATAAAATAAAATCATGAGAAAATAGAATGCTGATTTTTAATTTCTATTCTTCATTTGAAAAATGCATTAATATTTTCTATGATACACCGTGTATAACCTGGAGATAAAAAAATGTGCGAGGTGAGAAGACGACTTTTGGAACCGGAGGCGGATCTTACGAGACGTCTTGTACGATTCCGATCGGTCGATTTGTTCGATATTTAAACTGTTAAAGATATGGAACACTTTGACACACGGAATTTCCACGGTTCCCTAGAGATCTTCGGTCTGTCGCGTCATGCAGCGAGTTCCCGAGCGTGTTGCATAACCGTGAAGAACCGGAATGGAATTTGCATTAGCACCGAGCTTCGTAAAGCGACGATTTTTACGGCAACTTGTTCCTTCCTACTGTTATACAATTTTCAGTTGAAGAAAACTTGGCTCGCGTACCTCCCGCGTTCAAAAATTGTGCAGCTGCGAAGTCGGTTTAAAATTACTTTCCTTACAGTTAATCTTAACGAATCGAGTTCCCCTCTAATAAATGCTTTCGATTTACGACTGTCACGTTTCGTCCCGGTTGAAAGTCGACTCCCTGAACTATGGCCGGGCTTACGGAAGCTAACTCTGAATTCCGAGAATGAAAAACGCAGTTGCATAAGTTTGCGTTTTTTTTTAGAACGCGTCTCGTTTCGATAGAAATTTGGATAAGCCAATTACCAGAAGGACAAAGGATCGGAACCGGAATCGGCATCAACCCGTTGATCATTCGAGGTTCTATTGCCGTTTTACGTAACTCTAACGAGCAATTCGCGGCTCCTTCTTCGCCAATGCCATCGCTAATTAAACATTTTCATAACGGTGTTCCATTTCGTCGTCTCGCCCTCTCGTTTTTCTCGCGGACTCGACGTGCACAATTTATTCGGCGTGAATTTCATCGCGAACACCTTGAACCGGGAAACGACGACGTTCCTTCAAACTTATCTGCGTAGCTCCGACAATTTTGCGAGAATCAAACGCGTCAGTAGACACTGTGAACTCTGTATCAGAGATCACCTTATCGACTCGAACGTCAATCAGTGATCGACCATGTATTCTCGTTGTCTTACGTTCATCGTGCCCTCGAATGCTTTCACGAGCGACGCGAACGTGAGACTCGAACATGCCAGCGTTCGCAGTAGTATATACCGATGTTTGATCAGACACGAGACACCGACTTAACTACTTCTTCGCTGGCATCGTGTCACGTTGCGTTATTACTATCGTGCATCACGTTTATAATTCACCATTAAACTTTGAAACATTCTACAGAATTTCTACAAGAATTCCAAATATTTTAAGGCAAAAATACTTTCGCAAAGAAAATCCTTACGAAACGTCCTGCCTGAGAAATACGAAAAAAAAGTAAGCTTAGCTAAGTTCAAAGGAGAAGACGTAAAGGTCTCGACACGTATTGACGGCACGACGTTTCTCTTTTGTTATCGATAAACGCTGACCCTCGTAAACGTCGTATTAAATTAATGATAACATATTACGTCTGATCCTCGAATCGAATCGAGCCTTTCGATCGTGAGAAAGTTCTTAAGAATTAAAATTTAAAAAACGCAAGGATGCGTGTAAAGGGATACGACGGAGCTTTTTTTATTTCGCGACGTTACGCGACTCGATAAAATGAAAAGGGCAACAGGGAAAAAGGCACGTTACGTAAACAAGCAATAAATGAAGTCCATCACCGAATACAAGTTTCCACGAAGTTGATAATTATCTCAGGAAGATCAAAGAAATGAATGAAGGAGAAAATTAAAGAGCGTACACCTTAAACAGTCATGATAAGGACGTAGAACTTTGATCGAACATATATTGAATTTAACCAATATCCGTGCGTCCGTCTATCTTGAGAATTCCATTATCTCATTACAATGGAAGAACAAACGTTTTCTCTCGTCCCAGATATAGTATCGTATTACCGTTTGTGTATCACGCAGTTGATCTGATTCAATTTTCAAGACCATTTTTATCCAACCTCCGTTTCATGCGATTAGACCGCGTATTTTTATGTAAAACTAAATATTTATATAACTAGACGAGAAACTGCATTTTATATAAAGATCTATTTTATCATTTAATCATTTGTGATAAGCATGCAGTTTCTGATATTCCATACATTTTTATACATGCATACTTCGCATTATTTGCATACTCGACTTTCCGATAAATGCATAAAAATCTCGAGCGTAGTCTCGATACGATTTTCCTATTATGCTCAAACGTATTTTTACCCAACGCGTGGTTCTACCATGGATATTTTGTTTTTCCTAACGAGTCAAAGTTCGTCGGAGAAGGGGAACTGAAAAATGAAGATGTAGTAATTATCCGAGGCGGAGGAAGAGTATTTCTGGGTAAAGATAAAGATCCCGTGAATCGATGGCGATTAAAGGGCTGCCGCGAAGCGGATTAAAACTGTCCCACGGTAGAAATTGGATCCTCTCTCTATGCGGATCCCGCGGAGAAGAGAATCGTCGAGGTCCCTTTGAAAAACGCGTCGATTTCTCGGTCCAATGCCTCGAGCCGAAAGTTTCAGAATCTGCTGAATCGCGTGGGCGAGACGATGATTACTTAGGATCAAGCTCCTCGTCAGAGACTCGTACAAGATTGATTGCTGTTTCAACGCCCGACGAATATTCGCGTTACGCGTCCGCTATTTTATTATTCGCGCATCTGCCAGCCCATATTTTTATGAACGTGTTATAGTAATTAATGTGCGAGCGAGGAGCATGCAAATTTATACTATGACGCGGAGAAAAACGTTGGCAATTTAATTAGTTCGAGTAATTCGGTACGCGCGTTGCTCTGATTACGATATACGGCCTGGAAAAATGGGGCGAGCCGTTTGATGAAAAATAAAAGTCGTTTTGGTAGAGCGCGCCAGGTAACGAGAGGCTGATTTACCCTTTGACACGTCGGTAATGCCTACTAACCGGAATGAAAATCCCGAAGCACGGACTAGGTGTAAGAGTAGAACTATCGACCAATTTATGCCTCCTATCTCGTAGGGTTCTGACGCCCCGTTGCAATTTCCAAGTCGCTTACGACCTTATCAACGGATTATAAAATACTGTCCTAGCGTTCGCTGCAGTAGAAGATGCACTAATGTATTGCAAAAGTGTTTAAATTCTGATTAATAAATTAGTAGACACGAATCTTAGAATTTTTATTTCGCGATCCTTGACCAGATGACCGAATGACCAATCCTAGGGGTGGGTAC